GGGGTTGGTGTGGGGAACATTATTTCCCATACCCGCGACAGCCTGACACAGGTTTCAATAAACAGGAACATTCATTGTTACTACTTGTGTGGCCCAAGCAGGTGATGTACCCTGAGCCTCAGTTTCCCCATCTTTAAGATGGGAGTGCTAGCATTACCTTCCTCAGAGGATTCTTCAAAAGATGAGAGCATTTATAATCGGGCACCTTACAAATGCTCAATGAATTTTAATTCCCTTCCTTTCTCCATCACCCCCCCCCCACCACCGATCCCTCCCTTTCCTTCCCCTGGTGGCCAAGGAGGCGGTCCCCGTCCTAGGTGGGAGACGCGGTTTCTCAGTGCCATATGGTTGCAGTTCAGAAATGTTAAAACCAACACAGAGGGATTAAGAAACACTAATAATGAAAGAGATGCGCAAAGGTAATGAAACATGAAGCTAAATTCGTGAGAAGAAAATATGGTGTGTTCCTTCCAGAACTATAAATATTTAAGTTAGCCTGAGACGCTGTGCAGAACTGGGACCTGGGAGGTTTCCCAGAAGGGTCTCTCTCACAGACACTTCATCCCCCTGGATGGAGGGCAGTTCTGAGACCCCCTTCCCACCCTAACTTCCGAGGTAAAGAGCGACGGAGTCCAGCATAGTGGGAAAGTGAGGGGCAACCATGAAGTGCCAGGAGGTCAGGACGTGAAGCTCACAGGGAGGAGAGGACGGCCCAGGCGTCTGCAGGCTCGGAGAGCAGATGGGCGGGGGTGGGGAAGGAAACGGTGTGCCCGTAAATGGATGGCGGATGGCGGGGCAGCGCTACTCAGCACCTTTCCGAGATAAAGCCCCCAGGAAAACTTTGTGTCTTCGTTAATTCCAGAACATGGGTAGAGGACCTCTGCTAGGTATATAAAGTTTAACCTCTTGGTCCCTGGACATTGTTAATAGAACCACAGAAAACGAATGAAACCAAAAGCAAGCAGAAAGCCCTTGGAGATGATTGTCAGTGCCTTTGAACGGAGGCGTTTTTAGAATCTCACGCGAATACCGTTCCTCGC